TACCAGAGTACTTGATGATAGCCTGGCGCGGAAAAGTTTCCTACCATGGAGGACACAATAAGGCCGCTCTCCCCAGGAACCTGATGCAAAGGCTTTCCAATTACCTCCAGGAGAGCTTCGTTGAGATGTCCCATGAGGATTTCAGCTCTATCCCCGGACATATAGACCTTATTTTCCAGTAGTTGCACTGCCAAGGACTTAAACGTTAAGCGCCTAGGGCAAACCAATCATGAAAAACCCATTGTTAATGTTCCTGTTCTGTTCAAAATAAATGTTTACATGTTTAAAACACTTACCGACTGATCCTTCCCCTGATTCAGGGTCCGGGTTAATGCCTGGGGACGGTTGGTAGGGGATCTCTGTGAGAGTGATGAAGAGATCCTGGCTGTCGGGGAAATCAGCGTTGTAAGCGCTGTCGACTGCCTCGTCCTCCTCATCTCCTTCCTCATCTTCCCCGTCTGCTAACATCTCCGAGGAAGCGGCCGTCGACAATATCCCATCCTCTGAGTCCACGGTCAGTGGTGGAGTAGTGGTGGCGGCCGCACCTAGAATGGAATGCAGTGCCTCGTAGAAACGGCATGTCTGGGGCTGGGATCCGGAGCATCCGTTTGCCTCTTTGGTCTTCTGGTACCCTTGTTTCAGCTCCTTGATTTTCACGCGGCACTGCGTTGCATCCCGGCTGTATCCTCTCTCTGCCATGGCTTTTGAGATCTTCTCGTAGATCTTTGCATTCCGTCTTTTCGATCGCAGCTCCGAAAGCACGGACTCATCGCCCCACACAGCGATCAGATCCAAGACTTTCCGATCAGTCCATGCTGGGGCCCTCTTTCTATTCTGAGATTGCATGGTCACCTCTGCTGGAGAGCTCTGCATCGTTGCCAGTGCTGCTGAGCTCGCCACGATGTCCAAACAGGAAATGAGATTCAAACTGCCCAGACAGGAAAAGGAATTCAAATTTTCCCGGGGCTTTTCCTGTGTGGCTGGTCAGAGCATCCGAGCTCGGACTGCTGTCCAGAGCGTCAACAGAGTGGTGCACTGTGGGATAGCTCCCGGAGCTATTAGCGTCGAATTCCATCCACACCTACCCTAATTCGACATGGCCATGTCGAATTTAGCGCTACTCCCCTCGTTGGGGAGGAGTACAGAAATAGAATTTAGGAGACCTCTATGTCGAACTAAATAGTTTCGTTGTGTGGACGGGTACAGGGTTAATTCGATTTAACGCTGCTAAATTCGACATAACCTCCTAGTGTAGACCAGGCCAAAGATCTCAAATTTACATAATGTTACTGAGGATGGAATTTGAGTGTCTCAGATTTTTTGCTAATTTCTGAATGAGCTCAAATGTGTCAAATAACATTTAAGCAAAGAGTTCTCTGTTAAATGTATGCCTGAAGATGCCCATGTATTTTTTTCTGTTCCAGCTAATACATGGATCATGCTGCTCTTAATGAGCCAAATTCAGTGCTGATGTAAACAGTGAAACAACACTTATATAAATGGAAGAAATTCCATCGAAGCCGCTTTGGGATTTAGCTCAATAAATTCCATGTGCAGGAGTCCTGACATATTACAGTAGTGACTGTCTCAAAGTAAACATTGTGATGTAGATTTCCTCATTTCCATGCAGAATTTTATTACTCTCTCCCCATGGGAAATTTTAACCATCTCCACTATTCTAAATGAAAACAAATCTGCCTTCCACAATGCAAAACTGCAGAAGGTTGTAAGGTTAGCTGTGTAATATATGAATGATTTTAGTAAGCAACATATAAAAGACAAAATCCCACACAGGATCCATTGCATAGTAGTGCAACTTTGTTTTAATAATCCCCACAAACTATGGAAATTCAGTAAATAATTTATCCAAAATCCAAAAGCACTGCTCTGAGAGCCATATCAGTAGAAGCTATCCCAATCTTTTTGTTGGGGTACTAGGAGGTTTCCATCTGTTCTATTTCTGACCCACAGGATGTGAACTTCTGGTATACACTACATATGGAAAAATATTCTAAAGACTGTTGAAATTGCTGATAAGCATACAGAACAGTTGTTCCTTGGTCTGCTGTCTTAAACTGGAAAGTCAAGATCTTAATACAGTTTTCTTTCATTAGCAATTAGTTAGAAAATCCTCAAAAACAACAAGGAGTCCGGTGGCACCTTAAAGATTAACAGATTTATTTGGGCATAAGCTTTTGTGGGTAAAAAAGCCCCACTTCTTCAGATGCATGGAGAAGTGAGGTTTTTTTGCCCACGAAAGCTTATGCCCAAATAAATCTGTTAGTCTTTAAGGTGCCACCGGACTCCTTGTTGTTGTAGATACAGACTAACACGGCTACCCCCTGATACTTAGAAAATCCTAACTCTCAGGTCCTAGAGTTTGAGTTCCCATTTTACTGTTGCTGGAATGAAATGAATGTTCAGGGTGTCTACGTGAAGAAACATGAAGGGAGATTTATGTTAACACTTTGTTGAAGTGCAGAACTTTTTCCTTTGGGGAATATAAAGCATTATGTTGTGGCTAAGAATGTGCAGTTTCCATCACAGTATTTTTAGAGCGATTGGGCTACTTTCTGTTCTTAGCTATACCCGCACAATCCTATTTATTTAGGATACTCAAACCAAAGTGATAAATTAGCTCATATTTTGTTTTATTGTTTTTCTTCTGCTTCATACAACAACGTATTGCAACCTAGACCTCTAATTAGCTTTTGAGGTTCCATACAAAGTTGCTAGAAAAGTGGAAGGCTTATAAAGACTATCAATTTGAGATCTGAGTAAGAAAGTGCTAGAACAACTATTTGAATTGTAGAAGTGGAGTTTTCTCTGGTTAGTGTAGTTAGTTGGCAAGATTCCCAGGTGGTGTGAAAGACTGTACTCCACTGATGCTTTTTTTGACTAGTTTTTGAAATTGTAGACACAGCAGTGGGATCCAGTTATAAGGCAGAGCTGGGCAACTCCTGTTTTGATCATTGTATCCAAATAATCATTACATCTAGATCTAAGATTTGTCAGCTCAGATACACACAAAGAAACAAAATCTTTCAAGGACAGAGTGAGTTCTAGGCATTTTCAGTATCAAGGCCGATCAGCTTTGAGATTTTCAGAAAGTCTTTGGGGTTTTTTTTGTTTTTGTTGACTTTCATAGCAAAAATATTTACTTAATTTTAACTAATGCACAGAAAAATCCTAAAGCTAATCCTCCTAATCCTCTCTCTAATTCATCCATCTCACCAAGGTTAATGGAACTGTAAAAATCATCTAATAATTTGGCTCATTTCATTATTTACGTATGTGTTTTTATCGTGGTTAGCACCTAGAGGCCCCAGTGTCATTGTTCTAGGCACAATGGACATACACATTGACACAGTGTATGTACTTTTGGCTAAGAGTTTACAATCTTAGCATACGACCGGACAACCAGTGCACGACAGTGGAGGTGTTATGTACGTAAGGGAAAGTGCCATTATTTGCAAGAACATGGGGTGGGATTTTCCAAAATACCTAAGGGAATTAGGTGAGCAATTCCCATGGAAGATGAGTGGAAGTTGACAACTAACTTCTTAAATTGCTTTTGAAAATCACACCCATGATCTTTTTTTCACATCTAGGATGTGCTTTGCACTGTTTAAGCGATATGTGTTAATGGTGTGTTCTCCCCCTCTGTGTGTCTTCATCATGGACCAAATCCTGAGGACCCTGACATGCTCAGCACCTTGCAGCATCAAGCTCTCAGCCGTTACTCACTCAAACTCCCTGGGACTGGGCACTTGTGACCTGTGTCAGGTAGGATGGGGTTAAAGTCCTTCACTGGACAAAATGGTGGAAACTCTCTCTCAAGAATGGCCTGAGATGCCGGATCTGGAAAAAAAGAGTGGTCAGCTGTGGATTGTTCGACCATTGGGAGGTGGAATTGATAGCTGTGCCTGCTAAGCAGAGAAAGTCATAAAAGGGGAGCAAATGCTCCCAGAAGTTGGTGGTGGGGGAGAAGAGAAGCAGATCCTGTCTGGAAAAGAGGAGGGATAAGATGACACCCAGACATGGTAACCAAACGCAGTACAGGTTTCAGTTTGGCTGAAGGGATATGCAGTTGGATGAGGCAGACAGAAGTTGCCCTGCAATTGTTTTCTGGGGCCAAAAGGAACTGCTCTTGACTGTTTTATTGTCCTTTGACTGAGATTGAGCCAGTACTTTGCCCTTCCTTTTGGGACCTAATTTAGAGGCCATGAGCTCAACTTCCAGGGTGGTTGGTTACACTGCTATTGGCTTTAAAGGGATATGTCTCTGTAATTAGTCTGTTTGAAAACCCTCTGAATCAAAGTCTGTGACTCAGTGCTCTGAACTTTACCACAGAAGTAGATTCTTACCTCATTTAAGTGGTGTATAGAGTAGAACTGGGCAGAGAAAGGTAGTTCTGTTTCACAGAGGATTTGATATTTTGAAATTTGGTTTCATTCCAGTTAGGAAGGATCACCCTTGAAATTCTCCATGAAAGGAAATGGAGGCCTGGCTCCAGTGCAAGTCTCTTGACATTTTACCCTGGGGCCACAAACCCTGGTAGCGCGAGTTGTCAAAGAGCCAGATGGACAAGTTGGCAGGAAACTAGGCAGGCTTCCTTGGCAGGCAGGGTTCTGTTGGAACACTGTTGATCTCAAATAGTCTCCAAGAAATGTTTCCATTTTGGCAAATTCTGACAAAACCAGCTCTAGTATAGAACCTTTGTGGGCTCTTTGCGCCAGAATGAATTTCCCCTCTATTGTGAACAAGCTTTTCAGTAGTTTTAGTGCTATTCAAACAGGCGTTTACTACAATGGACATTTCCATTCTTTTACAGCTAGGTAAAAGATTTGTGGGTTTTCAACTTGTTAAAAATGTGGCTAGTGTTTTAGCTTGCCATCTTTTAAATCATTTTCAATAATATAAAGTCATCTTTAGAGCTCTGTTACTACAGGCCCCTGTGGTGGAGGTTTCACTTTTCTTTTTAATTAGAATTGACAACTGTTTGTTGTCTTCAGCTATATGGATTACGGCTTTACATCTTCATTTAAATGTGCTGAGAAATTAATTGCAAAGAAAATATAAACAGCATTTTACTCCTTCATTATCTGGTTTGTTTATTTTCTTGCATAACAATCAACCATTAGCATATTTTGACAAGATTTTGCTTTTCATTGCTTATGAAATTTCATTAGCAAATTAATTTTGCAATCTGGGTTAGTTCTGTAACTAGTAAAATGGTCATTGATCTCATGTTTGTTTTTACTATGTGCTAGCAGAAGTTTGCAACAAAATCACATTCTCCTCCCACAATTTAAGAATGTATGAGTGTAAATTCAACCAAATATGTAAGAAATTGTGTGGACAGAACTACGTTTATACATCTCATAGAGGGATACACATAGAATCAACAGGAAATCTGCTATTGTGAGCACTCATTTTAAAGTTTCCTAAGGTTTCCAGATCAATTTGATTATACCTTCAGTGTAAGACCAAACTGTACTTGTCGCCTGCATACTAGGCTGGTGAACACAATGTAATAGAACTTAGTTTTGCTGGTCCTTTGGCTGGTCACTTACACTAGGTTTCACTATTCATATGCTTGTGTATGTGTGTGTATATATATATATATATATATATATAAATAAAATACACCATTTTTATCTTTCAGTACTATACAGGCAGCAAACTTTTAAACAGATGGAATAGAGCTGTGCACACTTCAATTGAAATTGGACAGTAAGCACCATTTAAATCTTTAGCACAATTTGCTTCTTCCCCCGGCAAGTCCCTCAGTGTAACTCCTCAGTTTGTTTTCTCTTTTAGCCATGCTTCATGCAGACCTGACATCTGCTGATTTTTTTGCGCTGTTCCTGCCCTTCTTTAAGGGTTTCTGACAGAGGAGCAGACACAAACTGCAATTCTGGCCTGACGATTGTTAACCAGAAGCTATATTCATTAGCAAAAAAATGGCATGTTCCCCGCTGACCCTGGCATTCGATGAATGGTGCTGATCTAAAGTCTTCAAGGCAACTTCCAGGTGACATAAGGGACTGTCCACCTCCCTGATCTCCAGACCCAGTGTGCTGGAAAAAATAATGAAAGAATTAAATAATTGCATGTGAAAAACAGGAAAGAGATGTGCAAACAGTCTTGGCTACTGCTTTTATTTGGTTCTGGGACTTTTTGCACCAAGGCAAATGCTCCCAGATGTGTGAATCTGCAAAGGCATAATACTTGGAGAACTCAAGTTACAATAAACTTCCTTTCATGGCAGGACGAATCAGATCTAGTCATTCTGGGACTGGCTTATCTCAAAAGTCCAGACCACCCTTGCAGGTCAGCACCAGGTACATGTCATACGGGGGGGAAGCTGTAGTTTAGATGGGCCTGGGATTTTTTAACAATAGTGTTATCTAAACTTGCTCAAAGCAGAGTTAAATGACATGATTTAAAAGCCCGAGTCTTGTCTACCCCAGGTTTTCTTGGAACAGTAATTCATTATGGGTGTTTCCCCTAACTATAGCACAGGTGGAAGCTACACTGTAGAAAAGATTCCACTGGTCCAAACCCTGCCCCCTTGCCCTCATGGTTCAAAACTGCTCAGTTCCCAAGGTGTCAAAAACCTGGGGAGCCTAACTGCCAGGGTGGTTAAGCACTGGAATAAATTGACTAGGGAGATTGACTAGGTTAGATAAACACCTGTCAGGAATGGTCTAGATAATACTGAGTCCTGCCATGAGTGCAGGGGACTGGACTAGATGACCTCTTGAGGTCCCTTCCAGTTCTATGATTCTATGAAGTGTCCAAAGGCTATAACGAGAAGGGGGGGAAATCGCCCTAATGATGATTTACACTCTGGGCCTGGGGCATATAATGCTCTGTTACGCTCCAGTGTAAAATAGAGTAATTCCATTGAAGTGATATTATCCAGCTTTTATATTCCTGTAACTGAAAGAAGCAGCAGGTCCATTGTGTCTCAATTGTCTGTAAAGTGCTATGCCCATTTATGATTTTGCATAAATAACCAAGTCAGCAAAAAACTACTGTTTCCAGAACCACAATGATTACAGCTATAATACAAATATTACAAATCTGTAACTTTTACAGATTTTTTTTCAACTGTTCCCACTGCCTTTCCTTCCAAACAATGAGGGTCCCAAGTGAAAAATGAAAGTTAAGTGCAAACAGGTGATGCTTTCCATTTCTCACAGGAAAATACTGAAATCATGATTAAGATTTGTATGACTATTTTTCGGCCAGCTCCATTATTAACTTTGTGTGTGTATAGAATATAAGCTACGTAATCCAAGAGGCTATCATTCCCAATCTTGATGATCGCTAAGGAAAAGCACAGTAAAGTTTTATAATAGAAACTTGAGTATAACCAAGTAGTTTCAGTCTTACCATTAAAAAAGAATAGCCTATCCAAAGACTTCTCCAGTTCAATGGGCATGGGGGAATGGACTGATCTTGGCTATGAACTGCTACAGCTTGGGCTGAGGCCTCACATACAGCACATCTGCTAATGTAGGGTTGTATTTCATCTTCAGAGAGCGGCATCATTGGTAAAGGAGCAGCAGTTGACAGCCAGTAGGACTTATCATTTCGACTGGCATAGTAACAAACTTGGTTGATGTTGCAGTAGACAAATGGCATGGTGTTGAATACAGGAAGACAGGATCCAGCCAGACCTAAAACAATTACATATCCTGAAAATCCAGCACCTGTACATAGTCACCCAACAAACAGGCCATCCATTTCAAAGCAGTGGAAACATCAGGAAAAGTTAGTACAAGGCTGTTGGACCGTATAAGTCTCCCACAGGCAATGAATCCTGCAATGCTTTGCAAATTTTCCCTATTTTTTTTCAATGAATAGCACTGTAAATTCCACCCTCATGACCGACCTCTGTGCTAAAGTCATTGTCATAATATAAAGTTTGTTTCTAGACAGTTTGAAAATAATATTCTAGCTTACTTTATTGCAAGCCTGGCCAACTTTAAAATGTCAGAAATCTTCACTGAATTATCAGCTATTCTCCTAAACTGGTGTTCAGCAGAGTGGTTATGCAAATAAGTTTCTTCTTGCAAATCAGCTTGCTCCTACCAATACATTTAGTGGAGAGTCAATTAAACATGACACGATTTGGCATCATGGGAAGCAACTGTGAAAACAAATACTTTGGACTGTGACATCCTAAAAAAAATTAGGCAAGGGGAGGAGGGTTAGGAGGGAGACTGGCTATTCATAAAAACTCATTATCGGCAATGGAAACGTAAATGACAACTTGTGATCAGTTAATTTTGTAAAGTCCGATGGGCCATTGCTACTGACTCAATAAGATTAAACCTCAATAACAAGTTTACTACCTCCCAGCAAAGATTTCATAAGGATTTATAATTACAGTAGAGGGATCAGACCATCTGAAAGGGCCCAGTCCTGCAACATTCTGAGCATTACCATCAAGCAGACTTCAGTGGGAATTAAAAAGTTCTCAGCACTCGGCATGTATTCTCCTGCCAAGACTGGATCCCAAAAGTGTTGTACCTATAATGGTCTATTATATAAAGAAGAATTGTAAAAATGACAACAGGTACATATCCTAAAGGTGAATCCTGTACACAATAAGCTGATTATTATTTTATAACACCCCAAAGTGTGCTATGTGCTTCATGGACAAACAAAAGGCATGATCACTGCCTCAAACAGCACTCTTTATTCCCTGATCCTGCAATAGCATCTGCTAATGTGGGTGGGTATAAAGGTCTGGGCTAACAGATCCTATTGCAGTATGGGGGCATAAATAAAGAAAAGACCTTAAAAGAGGACAGGTCAGAGGTAGGGAGTGGGGGTTCTGAATAAAAGATACTGAGATTTTATATTAGTTTACTTTTAAAGATTTTTATGACTGTTTTGTAGATCTTTCTGTTACCTTGTGTAAAAATGAAACTATTTAAACACAAAAAAAATGTAATACAAGAAGAGGCCAATCTTGGCTGTTAAACAAAAGTCATTGCTTAAAAACACCTTTGCATGCAAAGTTTATTAAACCTCTAGCCTTTTCTCCATAAAAGAAAAAAGATGACTCCTCTGCCTTTTACATAATACATAAGATGATGCTCAGAACTTCTAAATATATAGGCAGTTATTTGGTGCCTATCTTTAGTCAACTCTGTTTGAAATGTCAGTATAAGTGACCCAAGGCACATAAAAGAGCCTTTTCGGAGCTAGCATTAGAATTCAGGAGAATTTTGGCTCCATCAGGTGCTCAGAAGATTAGACACTCTGACATACATGGGATTTATGGTGCTGGGTTGTTTTGAAAAAGTCATTTTAATCTATATTATAACATGTAATTTATCAAGTAACAGGATGCTATTATAGCAACATTTTCTATAGTGGTTTAAGAAACAGTCCAATAGTATAAGAAACATGCAGACATTAGGATCAGTATTTTGAGTATCATACACTCACTTCCTCTATAAACTGAGTCAAATATTGCATAATAAAGCTTAATATCATATGCTGCAATACACTCATCATTTGTTGTATATGAGCAGTACATATCTGGCAAGAACATTTTGGATGAGATATAATGAATAAAGAATGTCCATCACTTACTGCAGTACTTACCAAGATCTTGATTATGAGCTTTCTCCTGTCCTTCCAGATACAGCAGACTATATCCTGTCCACAATCTTGGCATTCCCTCAGGACAAAACGGTTCTTTATCTGACTGACTGTGAAGAATGAGCAGGAACCCACTAGCAGCTCTAGTTTCAGGCGCTGATGGTCCTGGGATCCCAGGTTGGCCAGGTGGACCTTAGGGAGAAGAGGTAAAACAAAGATGATTGCTTGAACATTTAAATATTTCAGCCAAGACAGGTGTCGCTTTAGTTTTTCAGAATGAATTTTAATGCTCAGTCAAAGGTTCCAGATTGATTGCAATTCACACTGAAGTACTGTTCTTATCCAGGGATTGTCAAGGGCAGTGCAAGCACAAGGTGGTTCATGCTATCCTGATATTGCATCTCAACCCTGATTTGGAGTGTAGTTCCCTCATGTGCCCACTGAATCCTTTGAGCTGAGACTATCAGCAGTGCCAATTGTGCCTCTGATTTTTTCAGCATGGATACATGTCCACTAAGAAATGGACTGAGGCCAGCTAGTAATTTCACATAGCTGCTGATCACTATGAGGACTTTCCGGCTTGGCCTGGATTTGAACAAGTGTGAAAAGGCATAATGTCTTCAGGTTTACTGTAATGGATTTAACTTAGGGCTGTCATTAATTGCAGTTAACTCATGTGATTAACTCAAAAAAATTAATGGCGATTAATCACAGTTTTAATCACGCTGTTAAACAGTAGCATAGGAATTGAAATGTATTAAATATTTTGGCTGTTTTTCTACATTCTCATATATATATTTTATTCTGTGTTGTAATTGAAATCAACGTGTATATTTTATATTACAAATATTTGCACTGTAAAAATGATAAACAAAAGAAATAGTATTTTTCAATTCACCTTATACAAGTAGTGAAATCTTTGTCTTCAAAGTGCAACTTACAAATGTAGATTTTTTTTCTGTTACATAACTGCACTCAAAAACAAAACAATGTAAAACTTTAGAGCGTACAAGTCTACTCAGTCCTACTTCTTGTTCAGCCAATCTCTAAGACAGAGAAGTTTGTTTACATTTACAGGAGATAATGCTGCCCTCTTCTTATTTATAGTGTCACCAGAAAGTGAGAACAGGCATTTGCATGACACTTTTTTTACCTGGCATTGCAAGATATTTACATGCCAGATATGCTAAACATTTGTATGCCCCTTCATGCTTCGGCCACCATTCCAGAGGACATGCTTCCATGCTGATGACGCTCGTTAAAAAAAAAAGTGTTAATTAAATTTGTGACTGAACTCCTTGCAGAAGAATTGTATGTCCCCTGCTCTGTTTTACCCACATTTTGCCATATATTTCATGTTATAGCAGTCTCTGATGATGACCCAGCACACGTTGTTCATTTTAAGAACGCTTTTACTGCAGATTTCACAAAACGTAAAGAAGATACCAATGTGAGATTTCTAAAGATAGCTACAGAACTCAACCCCAGGTTTAAGAATCTGAAGTGCTTTCCAAAATCTGAGAGGGATGAAGTGTGGAGCATGCTTTCAGAAATTTTAAAAGAGCAACTATCCGATGCAGAAACTACAGAACCTGAACCACTAAAAAAGAAAATCAACCTTCTGCTGGTGGCATCTGACTCAGATAATGAAAATGAACATGTGTCGGTCTGCACTGCTTTGGATTGTTATTGAGCAGAACCTGTCATTAGCATGGACGCATGTCCCTTGGAATGGTGGTTGAAGCATGAAGGGACATATGAATCTTTAGCGCATCTGGCATATAAATATCTTGCGATGCCAGCTACAGCAGTGCCATGAAAACGCCTGTTCTCACATTCAGGTGACATTGTAAACAAGAAGTGGGCATCATTATCTCCTGCAAATGTAAAGAAACTTGTTTGTCTGAGCGATTGGCTGAACAAGAAGTAGGACTGAGTGGACTTGCAGGCTCTAAAATTTTACATTGTTTTATTTTTGAATGCAGGTTTTTTTGTACCTAATTCTACATTTGTAAGTTCAACTTTCATGATAAAGAGATTGCACAAGAGTACGTATTAGGTGAATTGAAAAATACTATTTCTTTTGTTTTTTTACAGTGCAAATACTTGTAATCAAAAATAAATATAAAGTAAGCACTGGTCACTTTGTATTCTGTGTTGTAATTGAAATCAATATGCTTGAAAATATAGAAAACATCCACAACTATTTAAATAAATGGTATTCTATTATTGTTTAACAGTGTGATTAATCGCAATTAATTTTTTTAATCGCTTGACAGCCCTAATTGACCCATGCTTAGATGCTTTCCTGAATTGGAGCTATATTTTGTATTAGTCTGTCTATCATCTGTGTCAACCTGACAAATGTTTGCAGCAGAAAGTGATCATTCTTACCTTCTGGACCAGTGTATCCTCGTTCTCCTATGACACCTTGGTTACCTGAGGGTCCTGGTGGACCAGGTGAACCATCTTGACCTGGCAAGCCAAACAACCCTTCTTCACCTTTACTTCCTAGACAAAAATGAAGGATGCATTTTATCTTCATATGGCTGCATATAAAGGTAAATACAGTCCAAAGACGTAGTGTACAAGGAATCATTTAATAGTACTGTGCACAGGGGCCTGCTTTACAATGCTGTATCTAGTCCTGCCCCAGATATTCTTAAAATACTCAAAAATGACACCTACAGAGTACAAAAGTATTACAGTACTTGGTACTGGAGGTTGCAGGGGGAGTGTAAGAGTTGTGCTCTTTCCCTGTGACTGTAGGGTTAGATACAGTGGTGTGATAATATCGCTATCACCAATTGGACTTCATATCCCTATTCCAGAATGTGCCTGCCTCTGGATTTCAAAGTTTACAATCCTGCAGAGCTCTGTAAAAAATTCTGTAATAAAAACTGAAACCAGGGGAAGCCTGTACCAAGATGTCTATTTCCACTTGATTAATTGTTTGAACAGTCCCTCAAAACAAGCTCACTGCTTTCCTGACCTGAAGCTGCTATTAGAGTCTGCACCCTTCTCCATAACTGGGTGGCAGATTGTGCTAGGTACAATCAGGTCGGTGGTACCACTTTTATCAAAAGTATCTTTAGTTCTTACATCACTAGTTTCACAACAGGTATTGGTCTTTCAGGCCTCCATTCAGCACAGCATTTAAACATGTACTGGAGTCTCTTTAGGTCAAGCTGAAGGTAAACATGTGCTTGAATGCTTTGCTAAATAGGGATAGGCTTTGCTGAATTGGGCTTAATTGGTTGTTCAGTGGAGAAGGAAGAAGGCACCATAAGCCTGTAATATCCCTCAAAGAATGCATCACCTCTTTTTCTCAGATGTGCAACAAATGCCATATTAATGTGAATGCACTGTTGATTAGTAGATGGTGCCAATGAGTGCTTGATATTTGATTGCAAAGGCAGCAGACAGTGTTGGATATGTTTACTGGATATTTTTAAGCAGATAATTTTTTGAGTTTGATACAGTTCCACGTGTCAGATGTTGTGGTGTTTGGCAGCCCCTTTCAGAGAGAGAGAATGAGAATTTCAAGATGAACATGTTTCCTTAGAGATGGGGTCAATTCTCATTGGTGAGATTTGTATGCTTAATTCTTTGCACGCTTGCATTAGGTGTTTACCCTTCGGAAAGTGATTTTTAATATTGTGAGACAAACTTTAAAAGTTCCCCACCTTTTACTTTTTATTATGTTTGAGAGAATCTAAAACAGTCACAACATAATTTAACAGCTTTTCAATATCTGTTGCCTAATTGTTTGCCAAAGTTCATGTACTGGAAAGTTTTTGTAATAAATATTATCCCTCAGTAAAATTTCTAGTTTTCTTTTCTGCCTGCATAACTTTCCCAGCAGGGATAAGATTGGTTCCTGTTGTGTCAGTAAAAGCAAAAGCATCATTAAATTTTCTCCTAACACACCAACATGAGTATTATCACTGTAACACCTGGTTGTATAGAAACTGTTTAAAGATTTATATAATGAAAACACTATGCCCTGATCCCAAAGATCCCTCTTAGTTGACTAATGAATTAATTCACTGTAGTAAACTAAGCAGTGCAGTAAAAAGTCTTTTACTCAATTACATTAGATCAAAGATCAACCTGAGTATCTTCCTCTGAAGATATGAAGATATCCAGTAATACCACCATGAAAAACATGAATTCCCAAGGTGATAACTGCCTGAGAGTGTTGGATGTATCCCATTATCTAGAGCTAATTAAGACACAGCCTCCACATTTCTATCAAGTTGTGCACTGGAATCATCACTAGCTGTTTTACCGCATAATCTTTTATCTACCAGAAAAAATCACTGAATGTCAGCCTCTTACATGCTCCCCTTTAAATTCTTTCTCTGGCTATTTTTCTTCTATTGTAACTACATTGCCAAGTTCCAGGAGACACAAAACACTGTAGTATGCATCCAACTCATTTTAGGGTCCTTTCAGGCCTTTTAGTAGCATTAGCCTGCTAATAATTATTGTTACATTTAATTTTTCCAAATAAATTTTTCCCTAGCCCAGTAACTTGGGTAGCATTTTTATAAATGCTACATGAGGGTGTTAGGTTTGTTTTTCATTTGTAAAAAGGAAGAACATTATTGATCAGGTTGGCATCCCCACTGCATGATGCCCTGTACTCCTTGTTCTGGATTCAAACAGTACAATGCACTTCGGCAGCCAAATCTCTCAGTCACTCCGCATGAAGTATCTCAGTATTAAACAATATGTTTCCGGAAGCCATTGGTGTGGTGTGCTGCTTTATTTTTTTAATGCAAGATCTGAATAGTAGAAAGAGGTTGTAAAGTCTGATTCCTTAATTTAGAGATAGATAGGGAGCATGCACAAGATAGAGCCCAGTAACTAAATTCTCTACTCTGAGAAGCATACTCTTATGAGTTACTTCAGCATTATTTTCAGTTTAGACCCCAATCATTGCTGGCACCAAATGGGAAGCAGTTTCAGGGGTATACACAGTATCGCATGGTGCCCCAATGTAGGATGTTCTAAGATCAGCAAAGCTTTCATGTTTCTTACTCAATTTTCTCTCTCCCAGTCTTGTTTCCAAACTTCCAAAACCACAAAAAGCTTATCACACAGATTTTTGTTATTTGTTATGGACTCCATTCTGCCACCCTTTCACAGATTGCTTTCAGTGAATCTACTTGCAGCATAAGAAGGCACTCTTCAGCATGACCGGGGGTATGTTGTGAAATGAGATTTTATAGTAATTCTGAATTTCAATCAGTCATAAAACCTAACACTGTAGGGATTTTTTTTGCTTTCATTTTACTGACCAAGAATGACATTTATTTGTTAAATTTCCAAATAAATCTCTCATGGTCTTATTGATGAGCCTAGCCATTGTGCCATATACAAGAAATAAGAGGAGAAAAATGCCTAAAACATTTTGGGCAAAATATTAAACACCCCTCCCTCCTCTTCCTACCCCTGTACACTCTACACAGCTTTGCATGAAGGGTGCAGAGAATACACTTCTCAAAGCTTTAAATGTTCTGTTTGTCTTAAATTACCAAGTATTTAAATCACAGGCCTTACCTGGAGGTCCAGGGTAACCTATTGGCCCTGGAAATCCTATAGACCCTTCAGCTCCTCTTTGTCCTATTACTCCACGAGGACCCGGTGTCTTGGGACATGGGGAGTGTTCTATTTTTCCTGGTTCACCAGGGTCACCTGGAATTATGCAATAAAATTAAAATAACACAAATTGGAACAAAAATCTGTGGGAGATCAACATTCCCCTTTTAATTGCTTTTGATATTATAGTGCATTTCTGGGGCTGAGTTCCCAAAACTTTAATCCATGAGATACATAGGTTTAACTTTACTTTCAGACTGTGTCTAGCCTAGGATTTAAAGGTGTATTGTTAGTATGTGCTAGCTAATACATTTTAAAAATCTAGTGTAGACAAGGGACCACCGCCCTTAATGTGTGCTAAACCGGCTGAGTTGAAGCCTGGGGGGAACATAGGCTTTAACTTAATTGAGCACATGTTAAAGTATATACTGCCTTGTCTACGCTCCGAAGGCAGCTGAGAATGTCTCCACATACAGCCTGGGCGTAAGGGAGCAGGGGTCCATCCCACATTACTCACTCACTTTAAATGAAAGCCATGAGAGAATGGCTACAGTTTATGTATTGTTTATTGCTTAGTGTTGTTCACCATTTGCATTCTGTAATAAGTACATTTGTCTAGAACAGTGTTTCCCAAACTTGGGAGGCTGCTTGTGTAGGGAAAGCCTCTGGCGGGCCGGGCCAATTTGTTTACCTGCCCTGTCCGCAGATCCGCCTGGAGCAGCGAACTGCGGCCAGTGAGAGCCGCGATCGGCCGGACCTGCGGACGGGGCAGGTAAACAAACTGGCCCGGCCCGCCAGGGGCTTTCCCTACACAAGCGGCGTCCCAAGTTTGGGAAACACTGCGCTAGAAGACTTATTGGATTAGTTCAAAGTCAGTGGGGCTCGATGTCTGCTTCCACTGATCTGATAGCAGGATTGGGGCCTTGGCTAGTTGGCTTCATTTAAAAAGAGCCTGCTGTGACAGCAGATAAAATGAAATACAATAGATGTGACAGAGCACTTAAGAGAAAACACTTGTATTTTACATACTTGCATACAGAATTCTATGTACACATATTTGACACTTTATTGTGGGGCTCCTCGGCATAGTACAAGATTACTCTGCCTGTAAATACAACCCAGCTATGTTAAAATCGATTATAATCACCCTGTTATAACGATATCTGTCATTCTTCGCTTCCAGCTATGGCTCTACTATCCAGGGAGCGTGGAATGTACAGAAAGAAACCCAGACATGCAGAACAAATATTTGGTTAATAAGGCATTCTCCAGCTTACCTCTGCAACCTGAAGGATTCATCAAATGGAAAGCAGACCATGCCAGCCATTGCCAAGCAGGATGGAAACAAGTTTCAGGCATGTAAATTAGAACAAGGAATGGAATGAGAACTGAAATAGTTTGTATGAACCTGATATCATTCATGCTGATATAAATAATAATGGCAAAATTTAAAATACATGTCTTAGAATACTGCCTGCAAACAGTTTTCACAAGAACAAAAAGGAATTCAAAATCAATGTGATTTTGTAATACATGGTATTGTTGAATGGTGAGGTGCTTTGTGTGATGTGCAAACTCTTCTAGATGACCAGTTCACACAGTGCCAAATCCCAAGGTCCTTGCTCAGGGCTAAGTCCTTTCACTGGGAACCACCTGTGAGGAATTTCCCATGACTATATGTAAGCAGAGATACCACCTCTGTCATGCATTTACATACCCCAGAGATGCCCCTCCATTGTGGTTTTGTACAAAAAGGTGATGCATATATGACTGAAGTAGGAGCAGGGACTGAACATGCCTCCAGGGCCCTTCTTTGGTGAACTGACCTCTGCGTTCCATACAGCTATATCAGAGAGATAAAATAGTTCCCTGTGGCTTCCCACAGCTGTTACAGAAAAGCTAGCAGGGCAGGGTTGGTGTAACATAGGCAAGAGCTGGCCTCAGGCTGCCCTCTCTCACAGATCCCCTGTATCAGTTCATCCCCTCTTCATAAACCTAATCAGTGAATGATTTGCAGGGAATTCTGTGATTGGAATCTCAGTTTTCTCCTGCCCTTCTGGCCACCTCCTTTAATAAAGGGTGATCTGGGTCTCAGCATTTACTATACACTTAGTCTTTATTGAATCAAACTCTTACTTACAAACTCTTAACAGCTGAGTTAAAAACTAAGTAAGGACCTAAGGATTTGGCCCACAATACTTTGTATTCATCCCTTATTCCCACAGGGGTAGAGATTGGTACAGCACTCAGCAAAGAAAGCATCACATATGATTAGATGAAATGACTATATTCTAAACTACTTTTCAGATTTGCATAATTATAAAACATCTGTTCTTTATTGCTAAGAAAGGTTTTTTAATTGGTAAATAAAATATATATTACATTTTCTAATCTTGAGAAACTCCCTTATCGATTTAGAATATATTAATTCTCCCCAGAGCTTCTTATTTTGATGCAACAGGCAAAGGTAAGACTTCGTACTGTGTACTGGAATTCTTGATACTGTGGCATGTAGTATTCTGGATATTAAGATATTGTGCTTAATGAATGTTACTTGAGAAAGATAATATAGGAAAGGAAAAGTGGGTGATGAAATACGCAGTATTAACTTTGCTTCTTTTACAGCAAATAGCATCTATTCACATATGGTACATCTTTGCAAGAACCCTCACCTGGCATGCTCATGCTCTCTAGTCTTGCAAACTATTGCAAGTATCAGAAGAAAATGATCATTTATTAAATTGTTTCAGTGACTCAAAAATGTTCTATGTAATTGAAGGCTGCAACTACCATTTTAAACCAGCCTTGCACAACTCAGGAAAATTTACCAGGCACATACTTCATCAATGAAGACTGATTACAATAATAAAATAATTATATCTAACTTACTCAACGATATTTCCTCATCCCAAGTGAGTGGACAGCTAGGATTTTGTCAGGTTGCTATAAACTCTTTTCATGCAAGTGAACACTATATAAAAGTATTCTGTACAGCTATTAAGATCAAAGCTTATCAAGGCTGAGTGGCCAGCACGCACACTGCTGCATGGCAAAGAACCACGTGTTGTTCAAAAGTACCTTCAGGACCTCGAGGGCCAGGTTGTCCTTGAAAACCTCGATCCCCAGATGGCCCAAAAGGGCCAGGGGGACCCTGGGAGCCAAGGTTTCCCATCGGACCTAAAAAAAAAGGGGGAGGGGGTGAGTTTTTGTCACTGGTATTTGCACTGAGCAGTTAAATCTGGTGACCCCCTGTGATACTGAAAGCACAGAACACAACAGCAGTGAGGTCAGGCATCAGGTTCCTGACTAGTTACTGTTCTGTGCAAAATAGCTGTGGGCCAGATTTTGCTCTCCCACAGGAAAACCCCTCATGGAGTTTCCTGTGACGACTCCTGCATGGGGAGGGCTGGCTCCATGTACTGCTCCTGTCCAATAGAAGCATCAAGCCCCGCAACACCCATGAACCTGCTTGGAGGCACAGAGCCTTCCATGGTGAAGATATGTGCCTCTGCATTGGTTCCATGGCATTCTGCAGCTTTTACAGCTCCCTGGCACTATGATTCTACTGGAGGAGTGCTGCTTTCCTGCCCTGGCAGCTTAGGACTTCAGTGCCCTGCCTGGTTTGAGCCAGACCCACTAGCCTGCTGCAAACCCAGACACAGGGTCTGAACCATGTCCCCTAACAGCTGTAGGCTTGACTGAAAGCAACTTACAGAAGTGTTCATGTCTTTAACACTCAGATGTCCAACTCCCAATGGGGTCCAAACCCCAAATACATCCGTTTTACTCATAAATTGCTTGCCCTCTATAACACTGATAGAGAGATATGCACAGCTGTTTGCCCCCCCCCCCCCAGGTATTAATACATACTCTGGGTTAATTAATAAGTAAAAGGTGATTTTATTAAATACAGAAAGTAGGATTTAAGTGGTTCCAAGTAGTGACAGACTGAACAAAGTGAATTACCAAGTAAAATAACATAAAACACGCAAATCTAAGTCTAATACAGTAATACAACTGAATACAGATAAAATCTCACCCTCAGAAATGTTTCAATAAGTTTCTTTCACAGACTGGATGCCTTCCTAGTCTGGGCACAGTCCTTTCCCCCGGTACAGCCCTTGTTCCAGCTCAGGTGGTAGCAAGGGGATTTCTCATGATGGCTGCCTCCCCCTTTGTTCTGTTCCACCCATTTATATATTTTTTGCATAAGGCGGGAATCCTTTGTCCCTCTCTGGGTTCCCACCCCCTCCTTCTCAATGGAAAAGCACCAGGTTAAAGATGGATTCCAGTTCAGGTGACATGATCACATGTCACTGTAAGACTTCATTACCCACTTGCCAGCACACACATATACAGGGAGACTTACAAGTAAAATAGAGCCATCTACAGTCAATTGTCCTGGTTAATGGGAGTCATCAAGATTCCAAACCACCATTAATGGCCCACACTTTGCATAATTACAATAGGCCCTCAGAGTTATATTTCAAGTTTCAGATACAAGAGTGGTACATTTATACAAATAGGATGATCACACTCAGTAGATTATAAGATTTGTAATGATACCTTACAAGAGACCTTTTGCATGAAGCATATTCCAGTTACATTATATTCAAACTCATTAGCATATTTTCATAAAATCATATAGAGTGCAATGTCACAATGTGCCTCTGCATTGGTTCCATGGCACCCTGCAGCTTTTACAGCTCCCTGGCACTATGATTCTACTGGAGCAGTGGTGGGCAACCTGCAGCTCACGGAATGCATGCAGCCCATCAGGGTAATCTGATTGCGGGCCACGAGACATTTTGCTGACGTTGCCCCTCTGCAGGCATGGCCCCCCACAGCTCCCAGTGGCTGCAGTTCGCTGTTCCCGGCCAATGGGAGCTGCGGGAAGTGGTGGCCAGCACGTCCTTGCTGCCCACCGCTTCCTGCAGCTCCCATTGGCCGAGAACGGTCAACGTCCATAGAATGTTTCGCAGCCCGCAATCAGATTACCCCGATGGGCTGCAGGTTGCCCACCACTATACTGTAGTCAGCTGCCGGGGTTTGCCGCACCTGTGGAAAACCCCAAAACCTCCTTTAGAGGAGCGGGGGTTGGGGGTCCCCACAGGAAACATCAATCAATCGGATTTCATTAGATTTCCAGTGGAATCCCCACAGTTTGGTGGGGAACAAACAGTGTGTGTCCACTTGACTCCTTCCCAGATCCGCCTGTGTGGAGATCCATGACAGGACAGTGGCCAGAGGAGCCTGACTCTCCCCTTCCACCTGGCTGGAAGCAGATCCCCAAGAGCACATAGGTCTTAAATTCTTACTGTTTAAAAATGTGAAGACTGAGTAGGCAATTTCTCAAAAATGTGAAGTTACCATAATATAGATACTCAGAAGAATCTGCCTGAAGGCAGGTATACACTCAAACAAAACCATACACTTGAAATCATACCTTTCAGGCCTTCTCTTCCTCGATTTCCTGGAAAGCCTTTGGCTCCTTGCTGCCCTGGCTGGCCAGGAATACCGGGTGCACCTGGAACACCAAATTCCCCCGGATCGCCTTTCACAAAGATAGTCTTTCCGGGAGGGCCAGGATGGCCAGGCAGGCCTAAAACAAAACAATGTATATTAACAATGCACTCACAAAGGGTAAACTTTTCAGAAGTCCTTAAGTCCCACCAAATTTCAATGGGAAGTAGGATCCTAAGTTACCGAGGTGTGTTAGAAAATGTTGTCCTAAGTCCTACTTCAAGATAATACAGGGGAGGAAGTCTCCATGGGATAGGAGAAACCACTGGGATCCTCCGCAATCAGAAAGAGGCAGGTGAGTGCTATCTGCATTGAGACCAAACCTGTCCATGTTGGCTTTGTGCTCCTGGCTGCCGTCCCCTCCTCAACTGCCAGCTGCCTGGTGATGCAGCTTCTTTGCAGTGAGCTACCAGCACCATGATCAGCTATAGGTGACTTTGTATTTCAATGTCCTTGTTTTATCAATACATATAGGAAAAATCCAGAGCTACTATGACTAAGGTGTTTAACCCCTTCAACCACTGTAATTGGGCTTGTGGAATGTACAAACTCTGCTGACTTCACTTGCAGAGTTTGGTGACCAATCATCGGTTCTTGAACTGACTACAGTCTAAGCTTTGCACGAAAACAGCCCTCATCTACAGAGGTTATATGCATAAACATGCAGCTCCCACTTCCCTCCTCTTCCCCACTTCTAGGGACAGAAAAGCTATTTTAGTTCTGTTCTTTTTGTAAATGGCTTTACTATACATGAGTGTCATCATTTTAAGCCCTAATATCACAGGACCTCCCAGGACTACAAGCAAGTGCTCTGCAGCCTATTGGAGAACAATGAATCAAACTTTTTGCAAGGATGAAAAGTTCCTCTTTCTAGGTTGGCTGGGTTGTAAGATATTGGAACTTAAAACTCATAGGAAAATTGCCCCGAACCAAATATTGTCCATCCTTCACCTCCTGCTGGTGTCATTTTAATGGGAAAATTCCACAATTAGGGGGAAAGAAGGAACAATGCTTTAAAAAATGTCTACTGTCAGAAGTGCTCAGAGCTGTACAAGACTGGAAGTAATCCTGGCAGAGATTCATAAGCAGAAGGAGTGCAATTGAAGTGGACAGAAGTACACGATGCTTCCAGTTTATCACATGGTCTTCAATTTTATCATAGGGATAGCACCTCCCAAAATTACACCTACCAAAGGACAGGGGTAGTCAGTCCTAAACCAGTAACAGTTTTAAGGTGCGATATACTGTGATCCTACAGAGCTAGAAAGAGGAGCATTAAACCAGTGGGGAACAGCCATATTTATTACCCTCTTTGCCTTTTCCCATATCACATACATATATATATATATGATTAGAATACAATTTTCACTGTTTTGGTTAATTGATCATGTTTGATTTTCTTGTACCTCTGATGCCATGTGAACCAGGTGGCCCCTGATCACCTGGAGGACCAGAAGCTGCAGTTTCAGGAGATCTTCCCACAGGTCCCGCAGGCCCGGGACCTCCTGTTCTACCTGAGGGAGCAGATCATATGCTAGTTTTGAGTTTTCAGTATTTTATACTTTGGATAACAGAAATAAAATATTAATTGAAGGGAGTTGAGGTGCAAGGTCATGCAGAACATGCAGTTAACCCCATACTTGTGTGCTGCATTTCCCTGGTAAATAGACCGTGGGAGGCACTTGGCACAGAAAATATAATTCTTTTTAAAAAAAATTCTAATTCCTTTCCATAATATCCACTGGAGCTAAAGAGGTCCCAGAATGCATCATTCCTTGACATCACTGATTCCACAAGTCTCATGCAACCCACGGGTTCAGTGATGTAGCAGAATGATGCATTCTGGGATATCTGTAGCAAGTCAGGAAATGCTAGCATACTTCTTGGATGAGAAAAATACTTTTCTTAAAGAAAAGATCCCAGATGTACGTGCTCCATGGGCCTGCTAACCAAGTGGCAGGGAACTAGTTCAGTTTTCATTTCAGCTTTGCAGTTCACTATTTCGGAGAAAATGTTTCTTACCTGGGTGTCCTGGCAAACCCATGTCTCCAGGAGGTCCTGGAAGAGAAACTCCTGGCTGTCCAGGCTCACCCTTGTCTCCTTTTGGTCCAGGTGCTCCTGTGGATCCTGGAGGCCCTATTTCACTTTGACCTCCAGAGGAAAACAATTACAGTGCATGAAGTCTACAGTGAATGCAAATACAGATGTACAGAATAGAAATACCAGCTGCAGACGATGATGTTCTTTTTGTGATTAGTCTATCTCTAGTTGTCTGGTTCTCATATGTAAGCTGGGTGGAGTTTTGTTGACTCTGGCCCTCATTCATCCTTTTAAAGGTATTAAGCTCTTGATTCAAGGCATAGTCTTTGTCCTTAATTTGAAATTCTTAGTTTTATTCTTTTTGCTTTCAATTTCTTAATTTTCATTTTATATCTTATTCTCATGATCTCTTAGACTGGCACTTAGCATTAACTTTAACAATGGTCAGTAGGGTGTTTTGAAAGCTTCAAATAGATCACCATGGGTGAAATCCTGGCTCCACTGAAGTCAATGGCAAAACTCCCATTGACTTCACTGGGGCCAAGATTTCCCCCCATGAGTCTCCTTTTAATCTATTTGCTATTGTTTATCTTGTACATATAAAAGTTTGAGACTTGGCTTCACTTTGAATCATCTGCACTGAACATTTTCATTGTAAAAATATTCTCAAAGGATTCCAGCAAGACTATTAGACTGATGGAGGATTTTAAGTCTTTCCCCACAAATGATTGTTGGTGTGTTTCTCTAAACCATTAACTATCGGCACTGTTTTAAAGTTTAGTTTGATCCTTAATGACAGGATAAATATCAAAATATCATGGATCATTTCATATTCATTTTCATTTAAAAAAGTTCTGTACATTTTCATTCTTTACCTGGAACTCCTGGTGAGCCCTTTTGACCTTGCAGTCCATTCAAGCCATCTAATCCAGGCAACCCTGATAAACCTTACAAGTATTGTAAACATTATTAGAAGCATGACCCAAAAAACTTGAAAATGTTCATTTAACAAAAGTAAATATATAAAACTTGACAATACATTTCTGGTTCAGTACAGTGTTTGCTGAAAGTGTTTTGACAACTGAAGAATGAACTACATCATTAACAGTTGAAGCCTGTTTTGAAAAAGGAGCATCATTTATAGATTGCTGGATAGTGAAGGAAATATGAAAGCAGCAGAGGTAATTTCCTTTCATATATTAGCAATCAGAACATTTACCTTTAATCTTTAGTGTGATTTTACTTTGAAAAGTGACTAGAAATATGGCACTTCTTTATGCATTGCATCTGCTCCGTGTGCATTGATAACCATCATCTACCAACTTGATAAAAATGAGATTTTACTGCTTTTTATTCCTGTTAACCCTGGAGAATCAACACAGGTAAAACAGAATGAGCTATGGACTCTATCCTATTTTGTGCAGGATTATTTACTGTTGACCTATGAGCCAGACTTTTGTAAGGCCTGTCGCTTATTTATGAGTTAAACTCTCAAAGTGTTGTGGGAGTCTTATTAAGAAGGGAAAAATAGCTTGCCTAAGAATTTCCACTAAAAGATTTGACAATCTTTGCAAGAATTGTTAAACAATAAATACTATTTTAGATGTACTAATTATTGTAAGAGCCGCTTAGCTTAGGAGGATTTACAGAGATAAACAACAGATGTTAATATACTGGAAATTTTGGGGATAAAAGTAATATATGTCTGTGAAAAACAGGAAATAAGTGAAAATGAAACTGTAGGCCCCTCTACTATAATAGTACCATGCTGTAAGCTAACTTCAGAACCAGACAAATAGTACAAGTTAACTGTCTTGTCTACAGACTGCAGGAAGAGGTTCTCACAGATTGTAGTGATGTACATCCCTTTCTGTTATGTGCTGTCTAATTATCTTAATAACTCAAATCCAGCTGATTTATTCTGAGGTCTCTTTAATTACTGAATAAATTCAAACCTTACTAATACCCTTATTGGTAACAAATTAGTAACATTACAAAATTCTCTAATTTGCAAATCATTTAAAGACAATGGGGTTGAACATGTGTAATTGAGGACTTAAATTAGTATGCAGACTCATTGTCCCTGGTGGTGATGCACTAGGTGAAAAGATCAGACTGAGTTTCAGGATAGGCAGGTAGAAAGAACATCTTTTATTTGTAAACTGAGGACATTTGATAAGAAGATAATTAAAACACAACAAAGAGATAACGCTATGATGCCATTTTTACAGTCTCTTTTCAGGGTAGAAATACTCTACCTTCTTTCCCCTTTTTATTGGAGGGTAAAATAATAATTTTTGTTGAAGTTTTATTTATACATTTTAAAACTTATCGACAAAACTCATCTTTTCAGGATAGAAATTACAATAATTTATATTAACTATAAATCACACCTTCTTGGCATTTATGTGTAAATTTTTGCTTAGCAAAGCAGCTTGCTGAATCAAATGGCACATAACTTTTGTAGTAACACAGGCTAATTACTTAGCTGGCTTTAATATAACCTTTAGGCTTTGTTTTAGCATAGCTGAAATTAAGAACTTTCTTGATTGTGCCTTACTGTCTAAATTTCAAACAATAAATATCTGCAAGGGAAAGTACTTCATTTTAAGATGGGGTAGAAGTTCATGCTCACTACAGTGGGGTACAGAGCTTGCTATGAAAAAAGTTTTATAATTTCTGAAGTATGCTTCAGTCATAGTGATAGCCTAATCCTCTCCTCCCGAGGTTATAGGGAGTCAAACAGTTTTGCTTTAGGAGTCTTTTCTAGTAGAATGGTAGTATGTTTAGTGTCCTGTAAAATTTGAGTGCTTGACTTCACAACCTTAATCATGTTCTTTTAACATACTGGGTGTTTGTTTAGTTTGTTTGGTATGTAATTTCCTAGGTTTTTAAAAAAGGAAACTCAAAAAACCGCAGAAATTCCATCATGTGGCATCATATTGGAACCAACATGTCTCATCAGCAGGATTGAAAGCTTTAGATCCACTGCACTGATGTCTAACCACTGGAGCTAATGCAGTAACTGATAGTAGGTTGTTATCCTACATATGCACCAGCACTGGAGAGAGAAGGGACACTTTCTAAGTGGGTTTCACAGACATTGGCTGACAGCAGAGGAATTATTGAGACTCAGGAACCTTTAATGCCATTCTATGCTCTGAAGGCGAGTGGGTGCTAGTGGACACACCCTCTTCCACCCATAAGCATGACCCCCTTCTGCCCCATCCCCTCCAACCTGTCATTCTCCGAGTCTTTTCCCTACCCTGGCTTCTCCTCAGTCCCATTCTTCTCCCCTAGACGGTCCCAGTTTTCTCAGCTTAGGTCTTCTTGTCCCAGTCTCTTTGCCCAACCAGCCAAAAGCTACAACTGAAGGAAAAGCCTTCATCTCCAGGCAGGAGCATTCCCGGTTTGGACAGAATTTAGTTGCTAAAATGTAAGTCTCTATTGAGCATACACAAACTGATTTCTCAAAGGTTTATAACTTGGCCAAATTTGGGCAGATTTTCATGGGGACAAACAAAGGCATATCCCTGACACAAAGGCCTTGCCCCTGCTGAATTTCAAGTCCCTGCTCCAAACCATGGGGGCTCTAAGAATTTTCAAAGTAAAGGTTGTCAGAATTTAACAGAACTTAACATGGGCATAATGTATCTTTTCACAGCCTTGTCCTCAAAAGGCTGAACAATCTTGGCTTAAACTTTTCAGAACAGTTCAACCTGAGGCAGACAACTGGCACGGAAAATTTCAGCTGAAACAGTTAAAGTTTGGTAAAGTTATAAGCAAATTAAAACATGGTCTTATAATTGGAAATGTCAGAAACGTCAATACTACATGGTGGTACCAGCCTCACCTGTAATATTCTTTCTGCCCTTAATTGTACAATAACTGTACAATAACTTTTCATGACACTTGTTCACCTTTCCAATCCTGTTTACTACGGCCTCATCTATACTTCAAGGGAGTTCCTTGTGAAAGGCTTATGTAGAAATTGTTTGCCAATGTTGAGAATTTACCTAAATGATCACAAACACTAACAATTTTTGGAAACCCATTTTGTTTAAAAAAAATTTGATGCTTTGTTTTTTCAGTCATTATTGATATTGGTTTACTTTGTTTTCCAGGAAATTTCTAACACATTTGTCAACACTTCATTATAACATTAACACTTGTAAATCTAGATTTTGGACTGTTACAGTCCCATACTTCCAGCTACAGCTGAATTGGCTGACCTATATATGAACCATGGTTCCTAAATTTTAGGGCCCAATCCTGCAATCTTTACTCACACAATCCTTCTGAAATTAATGGGACTGTTTGCTTGAATAAGGACTACTCATGAGTGCAGATTGCAGGATTGGACCCTTAATTAGTGAGACTGTCTCTCTGTAATAAAGAAACTGTTGTTTTGATGAATGCCTGTAACTTCAATCCCTAAATCTGAAAAATTGTTCATGCATGAGATCTTTAATGTAAATGAAAAGCAATTAGGCTAACAAGGCTCAGTCCTTAATAATGAACAACTGGTTAACCATTTCATTTCTAATGACAATCACAAATGCTTCATTATTAAAAATGGAACTATTAATATTATTTAAGAGCCATGCTCCACAGTACACTGGCATACCAATTCCATTAATTCCTTGTAATTGGATACATTTTAAAATTTATAATCCTTCATTTCAAACATTTTGGTAGAATTAATCCACACTGGAGCTAATCTTTGGGTGGCTTGATCCCTACTGAATTTCCATTTTTATCTGAGCTACCTATTTTTCAGTCCCTGTGCACCTGTTGATCTCTTGTGTTTCCTTTGTAGGGCCTAAAATGATTTCCGTAAAATGAATGAGTGAAGTCAGCTGCATAAAACGAATAAAATGCCTGCTCCTAAAGAAGAACAGGAAACTTCTGCAACTAACAAGTTTTCACTATCAGGTGTGTAAATACCTTTTCAAGTGGAGGGCAATTTGGAAATCCTTGTCATTGCAGCATGACTCCCAGTGCTGTAGCTAATGGGTATACTGTTGTGTGCAACACAATAAACTGTTTTCCTACAGATTACACAGGAACAAGGAATTTGTTATTGTATTATATCAGCACCCCCTACCTTCCCACAGATAATCAGAAAAAGCTTCCATGTAAAACTCGGTTTTCAGTTTTGAACTGCCCAAGTTTGCCGTAGACTGAAACTGAAAAAATGAACGTTTTCTGTACAAAAATTGATTGTTCCCTTTTGGGAAATTTATTATGGACTCAAGGGTGGCTTTGTTTTGAGCCCCAAGTCTGGGGTAGCATGTTGTACCCCAGGAGCAGTTTAGGATGCAGATTGTGACCACCCAGTAAAAATAAACAAAATAGATAAATTATATAATCAGAAATGAAGCTTAGTATAATATTGATATAATATATGCTAAATTTTAATTAGCTACAATACATAACAGTTATATTGTATCCTTTATGGGGGAAGAGATTTTTAGATGCACAGTTTTTTCAATCTAAACACAGTGATTGCCATGAAAGATGTAATTTACCATTGATTGGAAGTATTTCTAAGTGTAATCTGCCAATAGATCAGCTGTCTTGCAAACAGTACTTATTTTATCACATTTTGATAAAATGCACCAATCATATGAGATTTCCTATATTTGAATTGGCCACCTTTTTCATTAATGTTTTCCACTACAGTGTGCTCTGCTATTCGTATTCATGTTTGCTGTATGCAGAGTAACAGTGGCACTACATGGCCAGAAAATAAATTACAGTGTAACTGAAGTGTTAGTGAAATATCTATCGTCGGAGAATTTTACTGTTCTTGTGTCAAACTCTGCCCTCAGTTGCACCAGCTGAACCAGAATTTGAGGTTTATATCTCTGCCTCCTTATTTACTTTAGATTGTAGCCTGATTTCTTTGGCCAACATTTGTGCTTTAAGGGTAGGATTTTCAAACGTGCTCAAAGTTGGCCTAACTCTTCTAGCTACTGAAGTCAAAGGGGAGTTTTACTATTGATTTCAATGGGAGCAGACCTAGGCCAATGCTAAGCACTTTTTAAAATCCTCTCTATTTTCAGTTACGTTTGTTATAGCACAAAATTCCCAGTAATTTCTGACACCATTACTTGAACTGTAATGTGTGACTAACGCTGCACTGTTTATAGCACTTACCTTTCCTGCCTGGGGGACCAGGTAATCCTGGCAATCCTGCAGCTCCTAAAGGCCCGGTATTACCTTGTTCACCTGGAACTCCTGGCAATCCTGAATCACATATGGCACCTGAAGGTGGAAAATATTTTTAATATGCAAACCTTTTTACTCCTGCCCCCTTAGCTGTTATTTCTCCCATGCTATTCAGTACACAATGGTTATTGACCGGCATCTGGGGCCAAAAATTCTATCCAAAAGCATTGTCAGCTTTCCTTGAATCTCCTTTATGGCCCCTCTTGGAAGAATCTCTGCTACTTTGCTGCAATAGTTCTGATACAAGCCTTCATGCTGCCTTTGATACCAACCTACTCTCTATTGCCAGCTTCATCAGCTGCATGGTTTTGAATTGCACTGCAGACTGCCTCACTTTTTGTCCATTTTGAAGTAATTCTCATCCATTTCTGTTTTTTTTTTTTTTTTTTTTTTTTTTTAAATTTGACATTACCTGGAAAGCCATTTGCTCCTGGGGATCCAGGCATCCCCTTGGGTCCTTGTCTTCCAGGTTGCCCTTGGAAACCTGGTAAACCCTGCTCTCCTGGGAATCCACAGGGTCCTTAAAGAAAGATAAATATAACAGTTTCAGGTTTAAAGGCATCCATGCCTCACACTGTGGTATGTTTACAAAATGCCAAGCTCAATATACTCCCTCATGTCGTACTCCTGAATAAAGGACGAGCTTTACGCAAATAGTTCAGCGTTTCAGATACACAGATGTGTTTATTATGCTGTTTTGCTCTGGTCTCTCTGATGTGTGGACTGTGAATTTATTTAAATTAGCGATAGGACATGGAATTATTGATCTTCCTTTTACTCTCAGTGTGATTGGGAAGAAGTTGACAGATTTTCCTTTTTTCCTTCCTCTTCCATGTGGCTGAAGAAGGAGGGGCTGTTCCCAGAGACAGAACTTTCTGGTGGCTAGCGGAGTGCTCATCAGTGATGCATCTGGACAGCAGCAGACCCTAACGCCTGTGTTCATTTGTGGACTATATTATAAATTGTGCGGCCTTTTTGGTCCTGGGCTTCCAAAGGCCCAAAAGCCATTGTTGTGCATTAGTCATTAGTATTAAGCTGCAAATATTGAAAGCAGCAAAACATGAACAAATCCTATAGCAAATTTCAAATGTATTTAAGCACTAATTTTTTTCTTAATAACCTAAATGTACCTGGTGATCCATGATCTCCTGGAGGCCCTCTTTGACCAGGCGGACCATGTTGACTGCCCGAGTCACCTCTGTTACCTATTCAAGTTAAAAATACAAATGACTTTCGTTAGACATCAGTGTCTGTTTCATCCGCAAAACCAAAGATAAATAATTTTGAAGGCCCAGTAACTTACAAATATTAATAGCTAAAATCACAAAAACAATTCTCAATTAAAAAAAAAACAAATTCTATTATTTTATTACATTGGACCAAAAGAACACAAAAAACTAGAGGATTGTCCTTGATAAATTCATACTAGGAAATAGAATGTGGGATTAAGGGAAAGCTTCTTTGCAAGTGACTGTGCTAAGTTTTTATGTTAAATATGGACAATATAGATGTATTTTTGTTACTGCAGTATCACTTAAGCACTAATTGGGAATGGGCCCCACTGTGCCAGGTCCTATACACGCACAGTAACAGACTGTTGAGTATGCCAACAGCATTCTAAAAACAAGTGTATCAATCAACCTTTTGGAAACTTCAGGAGTCTGGGTATTCTGTATAGCTAAGTATTTGTATAGCCCCCATCATCATCATAACTGAGAGTCTACTGAAAACTTAATCTTTCACTTGCTTTTGTAAGCTTGTTTTAGCCTTCATAAGTGATTTATTTGTGAAATCTCTAGTATAGCAAGATGCACACAAACGTCTTAAAGCTGTGGACCAAGGTAAGTAGTGTATCATAAAACATTTAGCAAATGATAATGGAATTAACAGAAAAATACATAGATGAGAAATACTGAAATGACTTCCTGAAAATCAGGAAGCTTTGGACTGTAGAAGAGGTTCATTTCTGCTTTAGGAGAAAAATGAGAATGGACGCAGACACAGCATTAGTACAATATCCCTGTCTATTTCTTGTTAATTAGATAATGATGGCCTTGAATATTTAAGGACAGTTTTTGAGGGGCAAGTTTCATTAGCTACTGAATATTATGTCATTCTATAGCTTGTGACAGGTGGAAATATTATATCCCCATTTCCCTAATACATCATTTAATTCTCAGACTGTTTGATCAAAAGCCACATCTGGAGGTATCAACTCAGTTGACATTCAGTATGACTCCCATTAAGTTCAATGGGAATTTGCCTGAGTAAAAACTCAGTAAAGATCTCATTAATTGCCCCAGATTTGAAAAGTGCTACATAAATACCAAGTATTATAATAAAGTACAGACAGTTCCTACAGAAATAACTTTGAAAAGGCAAGAAAAATCAGCACAGTTTAAGTCTGTTTACTCAGAAAAGGCTCCCTAAGAACAATTTTTGGGTTTCTGAGCCAACACAGATGCTGTGTCTGGCCTTCTCCACTCTACTTCAATTCCTCCCTTTATAACAGACTCTCTTTCTGTTGTTGCTATTCCTCAAACTCCTCCCACATCAAATTCATGGTGCCACAGCCCTTTCACCCCAGAATATTATGCAGGTGTCTAACACCTCTCACTCACTCCTGCTGGCTTCTAGCTTCTCTGTCTGAGACTGTTGTGAAACGCATAGGGAAGACTCTTGAATTCAAGTGTTATCAGTGATTCTATGTCACAGCAATCCTCCCTGACCAGAGGAGATCCTGTTTAGTGCCTTGATTGCCACCTACTTCAGCCAACTTCTTTAAAAAAAAAAATCAGTTACATGTGTTTTAACCCCCTTTTAGCCCATTTCTGATAAAGGATTTCTCTTTATCTCAAATATTTGTTCATAAATTCTTTTTTGTGAAAATACATTCCCTGGCTAGGAAGATGCTGAATTGCTAGAGTCATGGAAAAGATAATCTGGAGAAGGAATTTCCCTTGCTCTGTATTTTCTTCCAAATAAATCACTGGTCTTCACATTCTTTTACTCTTATTTTTGTATAAACTAGTTTTAAGAAGAAAATCATATTCTACGGAAGCTTGAAGCAATAGAACAATTCAGCTGGTACTTCTTGCTCTTCATAAACTGCCTTTAAATATTCAAGGTCAAATTTTCAAAGTGGTCTCAGCTCATCCTCGAAATAGGTCAAAATTTGCACACGAAAACTTGTTGGTGTCAAAGGTTGTGTGTCTGAGTGTAAACTATCTACCAAATTTGTACACACAAATCAGATTTACAGATGTCCTAAACATTCAAAAATTATAAGCTAGATGACCCAAAAGCATGAGATTTAATAATAATTATAAATTGTGGTTTTTTTGGCCATTTTATGATGATGTCACCTATTTTAGGGAATCCCCCATCTCAACTGGTGTGAGATCATCTCATGTTCAAAATTCAGCCAGAAATACACATGCAAAAATCAGGCTGCCTTGTTTACTGATCATCCTCGTCTATCCCCGGGGGTGTGGAGAGCTGCCATTCTCTCTCTCTTCTCCTCTCTAGATAGGCAGCTGTCCCCATTCTAATTCTCCTCTCAGTGCTCCCCGCAGTCTATTGTCCCTACCTATTCTCTAAATTTATCACATCCGTATTTCCCTCCCTTTCTCCTCATTCTCCTCCCCATCACATTCTCCCACTCTGTCATGACACATTTCCCTGGATCCCCTTCAAGATAAACTGCATGAGTTTGGAGGCAGAAATCCAAATATAACAAGAACCTTTAAAAAAACCCAACCCCACGCTGTTGTTGTGAGACTTGCAATAAAACTGTGAGTTGGCAACACTTCGCCAAAACAAGGCACACATCTGGAGGCCACTTTTGAAAATGTGACCCTTAGTTGTCTACAAAATAGTTTCATGTTCATCTTTTCATGCAAATACTTTTTCTCCTTCTGTCTTCTCTTCCACTCATGGGTGATGTTCCCCTTTCTCTGTATCTGAAAACTAATACAAGTTTAATCACAAAAGCCATCTAGATAACCATTATGTCCTGTCATTTGATCCCATGGTATTTTATACATATATTGGTGTTTCTCATTTTTGGGACGAAGCTGTGATCTTGTGAAATTTAACTAAGACACAGTCATCTTCAAAGTCACGGAAAGCCTTTAAGTGATAAATCACCAAATGTCCTACTATAGTTAAATGAAAACTTTTTATTTAGACATAAAACAGTCTTGTGTCTAACGATTTTCATGTGTGAATTATCTCTGTCTCTTTCTCCTAGAGCAGTGTTTCCCAAACTTGGGACGCCGCTTGTGTAGGGAAAGCCCCTGGCGGGCCGGGCCAGTTTGTTTACATGCCCCGTCCGCAGGTTCGGCCGATCGTGGCTCCCACTGGCCATGGTTCGCTGCTCCAGCCAATGGGAGCTGCTGGAAGCGGCGGCCAGTACGTCCCTCGGCCTGCGCCACTTCCAGCAGCTCCCATTGGCCTTGAGCAGTGAACCGCGGCCAGTGGGAGCCGCGATCGGCCGAACCTGCGGACGCGGCAGGTAAACAAACCGGCCCGGCCCGCCAGGGGCTTTCCCTACACAAGCGGCGTCCCAAGTTTGGGAAACACTGTCCTAGAAGATGCAATGAATGTATCAAAGTATACAGCAACCTAACAAAATACTATTTATTTCATATAGCTTGTATGTTTCAGCTCATTACCTTTAAGTCCTTTTGTACCATCATGTCCTGGACATCCAGGAATTCCCGGTAAACCTCGTTCACCCTGATACATTATTAAAAAAACACGCTGTGTTTAAAATATAATATACGTAACAGGCACAATCTGTAAAAACATATGATTTTGTTGCACTGATGAACAGACTGATACTAAATGTCAATATTATTGTTTCTTCACTGTATGATTTTCTGTGGAGTAATCCACTAGTCTGTGTCAAATAATGGCTAAATACTGACCTTTGATATATGCAGGAAATGCCAATTGTCTTGAGTTAGATCTGTGTATCTATCGCTAAGGCTAGAATTTGGATCAAATATCTTAAATTCCCTCTAGGTGATCCAATTAATGCAACTGTAGTTTAATTCAAAAATGGTACTTCAGTAATGTATTTTACACAAGAACACAAATGAATAAAAAACATGTTATCTCCCCTTTTGCTGACCCCCAAGAAATTAGTGTTGACCTTCTAATATTAAAATAAAAAAAGATAATCTAATTTTTCATCATAAACAAGGAGTTGTAGACAGCAATACAAAGCTTACACTGTCCCTCAGAAATAATTTGGTAAAACACAGACCCAACGCTGAAAACAAATGATATGTAACTATAACAGCTTAAATTCAACCCGGATTTACATTTGTGCAATCCCATTGACTCATTGCATGGGATGCAAGATAGTGAAGAATTTGCCTCTAATTTCATCTATATCATGCATATTTGTACATTTTTCCTTTGGAAATAGTATTTTCCAGGGTTCTGTTCACTATAAGCTGCCTCTGAGGGTGACAAAGACCAAGGGATGCTCCTGGACTATGCATGCAAACAAGCAGGCTGCTCTTGGAAGTGGCTATCTCACTACGGGTAGAGTAGGTGACTCCAACCATGTGTCCTTGGGAATAATATCAGAGGATAGACTGCTCATGCACCTTTCTTGTTAGTCAGTGAAATATGATGAGGGTTCCCAACTACAGAGAGTGGAACCAAACAACTCTATGGACCATTGAGGTGACAAAGGACCCCATACAGCCCCACTATAAAATAAGTGAAAATAAAAGCAACAAACAAATTTCACATTTGTTGACCTTACATGCTAGGCCAATACTGTCTTCTGAATAAGATCATAAGAACAGCCACATTGGGTCACATCACTGGTCCGTCTAGCTCAGTATCCTATCTTCCGATACTGGCCAGTCCCAGATACTTCAGAGGAAATGAATAGGACAGGGCAATGTATTGAGGGATCCATCTCATGTCATCCAGTCCCAGCTTCTGCCAATCAGAGGTTTAGGTGTGACCTGGCATATGAGCTCTATAAGCATGCTCGTATGGCTTGTGTACCACAATCAGTCCTGTTGCTTGGATTTTGAGCTCTCAAGAAGTATAAAAATGCAGTTCAGTACTGTGTATCCATGATCTTGCACTATTGCTCTTAGCTTACCTGGTCACCCGGTTGCCCTTGAAAACCACTAATTCCTCCTAAACCTGCCGATCCTGGGGAGCCTGGCAGCCCTGGAAACCCAATCTGTCCACTATCACCAGGTTCACCCTTCTGAATTCCTGGGAGTCCATTTTTGCCTGGAAATCCTGAGATCCCTCTGATTCCAGGACTGCCTTTTTCACCTGAAATTATTCCACAACAAAAGATTATTGTAAATTTATCCTGGCCCTTGGGTGATACATTTTAGTACCACATTTTTGTGGGTACACTTGTGCGCTCACAATTCATGAAGTACACAATAAATTGTAGGCATAAACTGTAGTATTTATACAACTAACTAAAGGACATGTCCACATAATGGGGTAGTTGGATATTCAAATACTACTATTTGTGTCCACAGTTATGCCTGAAATTTTGAAACTACTATTAATTGTGGCACTGTGACAAAAAATTGTAGACATTTTTAAAAATCAGGCAAGGTGGGTGTACACACTCTCTCTCTCTCTCTCTCTCTCTCTCATGAGCTCACCTGTTTCCCCTGGAAACCCAGCCTCACCAGGAAGCCCTTGTTCTCCCTTTTGTCCTTTTTCCAGCCATAAGGTAATGAAGCCACTGTCTCCTTGAGCACCTCTTTCACCTTTGAAGAAGAACACGGTGAATATAATATATACAAATGCTAGCTGACCACACTGTATCATAAAATGTCATTAAAAATACATTTAAGTGCTTGAACTCTCTCCCAAAGTCTTACAAGAGTGCCCTTTTCTCTTCTCTTTAGAACGTAATGTAAGTCCCATTTATTTCAACAAGTTTATCGTTGAAGTTATTTTGTCTTTCCCCTCTTTATATTAATCTGTAAACCTCTTTTCTTTGTGTAAGTTGGGAATTGCTTCTGGTGTGGGTAGAGTAGTTTGCCTGAGGACTACTGGACTTGCCATTGTGCAGATCTTTTGGTTCTCACTAACTATGTATTTGGCAGGTTGATCTTTATTCCTTGTTTTAATGTTGGGACATGATACTGCCAAAAACCTTTATATTTACATTGAACAATGAGAAAAACATGACAGAATCTTAAAGAATGCCCTGCTTCAAATCTGTTGGTGATGACATACAATTGCTCATCACCCCTGTTGAGAGAGAGCTGCACCAGATGCAGCAATGTGTGTAAAGGACACATAAAAACAAACAGGTGCATGAAAAAGCAGACTCATTAAACAGACCATCTGATTCTGCTTGCATGTACACCTGATTTACACTGGTTTAACTCCACTGATCCCATTGGAAAATGGCAGTGAATTGATTAAAGTCCTTTTACAACAAACACGAAATTAAAACAATTTTATTAACAAAAATGAAAAAAAGCCAGTTGAAAGGCAGAGGTAATATGGATTCTCCATACCTTTTTGCCCTCCATCCCCACATTCTCCAGAAGGCCCCCTTGAACCCATTTCTCCTTGTTCACCATTTCCACCCGGGATTCCTGTCTGTCCTTCTTTTCCTGGGATTCCTGGGAAACCTTGGATGCCTTGGATGCCTTTGCTACCTGGTAATAATGTTAAGATACTGATGTGCTTATCTAACAGCCTACTGTGGTGCTATTAGAAAGAGTGCTATTAGAAAGAGTGCAAAGCAAAAGGGAGACAGTTTAGAGAGAGTTTTGGAAAGTTAGTAATATATGAGAATCAACAGCAGACGTATTTGAGTAATACTAAGGTAATGCTGGGTAACAATAGAACATGCAGTAGCAGACATTCACTATCTAGGTACTTAGCTGATGCTCATCACTGGTATCTGAGCTACAAAAGGTTACACATGGAATTGTACTCGGGTGTAATATAACTTTCTGGAAAATTCTCCTCCTTTGGGGATAAAACACTTATTTCATGCTTAGGTTCAAGCCCAATGGTTATTTCTTTTTAAGTTTGAGGAAAGTAGTTCAGTCTTTTGTAAATGTATTTATGCATTTTTAAAGCACTTCATTAGTGCCTCAGTAAATGTCTCTTACTTTCAAATCTAAACTGTTGTTAAGGTTTTACTAAACAATTCCCCAAATGCTCGTAGCATTAGAGAGGATTCCCAGCTGGGGGAAGCTGTTTCCCCACTCACATGACCTCATACTTCTTAGGCACACATGAGTATGCTCTCATACAATATTGCACTGAAACCAGGACACAATAATGACCTGTTGCAGACAGGAAGAATGAAACAGTCCATAGAAATTTGCCTATAACTTTCATAAAACAACCAAAACCAAAGAATCTTTGGTGTGCCCTGCAAGCTGCAAAGTCTTTACACTTGCTTCACTTTTGCTCCAAGAGACATAAGAAAGGGTGATATTCTCATTGTTTTTCACGGATCCATGTAGTAGAAGCTGGAAGGGTGTGAACAGTGCAAAGCACTCTCACTGACATCACTTGAGAAGGAGCAGCTGTTTAAAAGAATTATATGTAACAGGGTGATAGATACATTAGGCTCCATATACCTCGTTGGCCCGGGAGTCCAGGTAATCCATCGTTCCCAGGAAGCCCTGGATATCCTCGAGGGCCTGGAGGACCAGGGGACCCTGGTACACCAGGAGTTCCTGGTAGGCCTTTCATTCCAGCTGGCCCTGGTGGGCCCATGTCTCCTTTCTGACCTTTAAAACCTGGTAAGCCTGAGAAAACAGTTTATTTTACTCACTTTATAACCAGAAGCACAAAAGAAGATTCAGCAATACAGATGGTCATAAGAAGGATGGGGGCAGGGATCTTATATCAAATTATTGATTTTTGGTGGAAACTTGAATACTGAAAACACTGGGCTGAAAACTGAAATATTTTGATTTGTAAATACTGCTACGGTGCCTCCTGGCAGTGGGGAGACGGTACATCACGGGAATTCCTGGCCGCAATATTTTGGTTTTCAGATGAAATATTTAGGGTTTTTTTGGGTGTTGGTATTTTTGATTTAAAAAAATTTCTACAAAAAGCATTTTTTGTGAAAAATTTAATTCAGTTGAAAATCCAATTTTCCATAGAAAAACAGTATCAACAGCAATTTTTCCATCAGTCTCACTCAGTGACACTTTTACCTAAGCCTGGGCTGTAACTACATGCTAAATAAACAACACGCTTTTAAGATACTGAAGATTACAAAATAGGAAATACTTAACTCTTCCATAGTATTAAACCACAATGAATGCATATTTACGAGGCCAGTTAAGCAATGTATTATTCTATCGGAAACAGGTTTGGGAGGGACCTTGAGCTTTTCACTACACTGACTAGGCTGGGATGAGATTATGCTGAGTAAAGGGAAGGTACAGAACACGCTGCACCAAGCACCAGTGCGCCGAAAGATTTTCATTGGACTGTCTCTGACATGTCAGCCAGGTGGTCAGTATGCAGGAAAGAATTAAATGTAGCACAAGAGTTCAGAATAAAAGTACAAGTGAAAACCTTAAGAGCTCTGCTCAGACCAACTACATCATGAATCCCAAACTCCCCGTCTTGCATTAACAGAAAGCAATTGTGTAATTGTATGGAAGACACAGAATTCATGATACTCTCTTTCTGAACCCTATAACTTTCTCTTCCACTATCAAGGGGACCATTGCTCTGATTCACAAATATGGGTAAAATGACACACAACAGTTAAAAATGTGATTGAACTGTAGTGAGGGGTATCAGCTGGGAGCACAATGAGAGAAGGGTGGCTGTGAGAGTCCCAGAGTTTAGGAGTTGGGTTTATTTTTTTAAAAAATATCACCATGACAAACCTCCCTAACTAGAAGGTTTCCAGTAGTTAATTTTAACATGGTGGCACATGAATTGCTCCTCAATATAAGATGGACAGCCATGGTTATTTTATTTGCACATGTGACGCTCAAAGAGATAGCAGGAGGACACCACTGTAGAAATGAGCTAGTTTTGGGGGAGAAGTCGCTCAGAGGAAGGGGAGACACTTTCAGTTTACTACACCTTAAGATAGTGAATAATTTTCACTAGCCACATAACTCAGTCATTCTTAGCTGATGTTTTTCTTAAATCAAAACGACAGCTTCACAAAGGTTTTTGCTCTGGTACCACTGAAATCAATGGGAGCTTTGCTATTGGCATTCTCTGGGAATAAGGGGAGGCTCAAAGTAATTATCTGCAGATAGAAAATCAATGGAACAGAGAATAAATGGAATGGGGGATTACTGAGTTTGTAGATATTCACCTGAAAAAGATGCCCAAAGTTCAGAGCTGGGATGTAATGTTATGAGCACAGTTTACCTGGAGGGCCTCGCTGTCCAAGAACTCCTGGCTGTCCTGGTGGCCCTTGTAAGCCTTTATCACATGGCTGACCGGGTGAGCCTGGAGCGCCTATTTCACCTTTTCTGCCTCTCAGACCTTTAGCACCTGGAAATCCTGGTCTGCCAGACTGTCCTAAAAAGATGCAATATTTCTCCTGACAAAAAACTTCCCATCCACTCCCCTGGCAACCTCCCCGTAGAGTTCAGAGCAACGTATTCAATTACTGTTGTATTTTACCCACCCACGTGGATGGTTCTTTTCTATAGGTTTTCAAAAATGTTTGATACTTTCCTGCACTTTGGAGTAGAAATATGACTCATACCTTGTGGCCCAGGAGCACCTGATTCACCTCGTATTCCTTGTGAACCAGATAATCCTGGCAATCCTCTGTGGCCTGGAATTCCTGGAAGACCGTAACTGGTATCACCTGGAACACCTTTCTGGCCTGCAAGTCCAGGAGTGCCAGGAAAACCTGGGGCACCGTCAGGAGAAGAACCTCTTTCACCTTCATCACCTGGATCACCAGCATTGCCTCGAAAGCCTATTGAATTTAAAAATCACACAACATAGACAACCGTTCAGATGGTATGTTTTAAAGGTGTGGGCTACCATAATGCAAATGTAATAGAATGAAAATATATTCAAATTATATGCAAAATAACATTTGCATACTTCAGGTTTCTCATTGGATAATGATATCGCACAAGAAACCAACGAGCCATTGTGGAATTGATACGCTTGGGGGGTGATACCTACGTGTTTGGGGCAGCATATATTTGTTTTGTGTATTCCCCATCCTTGTTTATTTCAATCCCTTTGGTAAGTAAATATATTCTCCATGTGCCTGCAAGGTTTACATATAACAATCATGCTCCTGCTACAGGTTCTGAATTGATCAAGACTCAGCAGCACCTTCCATTGTGGTAGTAACAGAGCATACTGGAAGGGATTCATCTATACATCAGCCTAACTGGAGATATCACTTCCATCCCAACCTGAACAACCTTACAACTGAACTTTAGACACACATCCTGCATTTCAGGGAAAAGAGGCTGAGACGGTTAAAACTAGCAAGGCAGCTTACCCTATCCTGTGTAAGTATACATGCACATGTATTAACAGTCTGTGCAGCTCCATGTTTCAGGGGTAAAAAAATACTGTCTCTCTCTCACTTACCGTTTGGCCCTATATCACCTGATGTCCCTGGTTTGCCTCGTTGGCCCTTTTGCCCATCAAAGCCATTTGGTCCAGGAGGACCAGGGGGTCCTCTTAATCCCTTTGGTCCTAAGAACATAGAAAGAATACAGATTTTACAGGATCTGCTTATAACCTACCAAACCTCTCTGTGAACTAAAAGGAGATGTAAGTAAATAGTGGTGCATCTTCATTGTATGCTGCATTGTGTAGAATTTACAAACAAGCCGTCCTTTTTATCTTCTTTGAAGATCGAGTGCTTTCATATCTTTCTGAACATTGTGGGAAGGGCCACACAAGTTGGCCCAGGAAGGGATGACTGACAGCTGACAGCTTAGACCCAAGGGCTGTGCACTAATCTGTAAATCTCCAGAATGAGGTTACTCTGGGCCCCTCTGATAGTAAAACAACTGCAGAAGAATAAATTAGGGCTGTTGATTAATCACAGTTAACTCACATGATTAAAAAAATTAATCGCGATTAAGCAGTTTTAATCACACTGTTAAACAATAGAATACCAATTGAAATTAATTAAATATTTTTGAAAAAAGAACAGGAGTACTTGTGGCACCTTAGAGACTAACAAATTTATTAGAGCATAAGCTTTCGTGGGCATCAGAAGAAGTGGGTTGTAGCCCACGAAAGCTTATGCTCTAATA